AAAAAAAAAAAAAAAAAAAAAACTTGGAGCTAACCCTGTTGAAATATATAAAAATGCATTTACATGATTACAAATATATTTTCATCAATTTTTGTTCACCAGAAAATCATGGCTCTACCAGATAATTACTGCAGACAGTTTCTGAAGAAGCGAATTGCCTGTTACACAAATGAATGGTGATAGTTAAAAGAGGGAACTATGGCGTTTTAGTGAACAAAGAAAAGCTCGATAAGCACAAAATTAATAATGTAAATTGAATTCCAGTACCTGTAGGGCAAAGACAATGTCAGCTCCATCTACCTTTAATGACACTCTTGTTATTTTACCATCTCGCGATTGTCCTAGTTTGAGAATTCCCTGCAGTTTGACACAGGAATAAGCTTCTGCTTTTGTATCTTCTTGTACCTTTTCGTTTAAGCTATTATATCTTGATTAAAAATAGTTTTACCTGGTCATCTAGCACCCGGCACATACTTGAAAGTTCCACGATGCCAACAGGAGGGATTAAAGTTGATTTGCATACATCCACGTAAGATTTGTTCAACTGCACCCGACAAAGATTAGCATCTAAATTCAGGCACCAAAGAAGATAGTACATTTATTCGGAAATTGGAAGTAATCATACCTCACCGATGGTTGTATCCTTCTTTCCTTTACGGAAAAGCTTCACAGCCGAGCAAAGTATCATCTGACAAAACGGCCGCACATAAAACGAAGATTGTCCAATTATATCTTGACAAAAGATTTACTCAATGACAAGTCATCCATGAAGCGGAAAAATGTCACCGTGTTACAAGTAGACTTGTACCTGTTGATGTTGGGGGAGGGACTGAATGGTGTCTACTATAGGCGATGAAAATGTCTTTGATAATGCAGCAGCAACATGATCTATCCTCACCTGTAACAATTCAAAATATTCGTCAAGCATCAAATTGGTGTATACATCCCATGTAAACTAGGCTTATTTCAGATTAACAAGGGAAGCATATTATTGTTTTAGTTGCACAAAAACTTATTTCCGTCAGAACTGTTTCGATGGATGATTTCCAATCACAAAAAGTGAAATTTGAGACAGCTATGTAATATGCTCACCACATTATTTACTTGGTCTAATGATGATGGTATGCAGTCACTGGTAGCTTCTCGTCTTTCAGCTTCTAGAATTTCAATTGCACTCCTGAAGCAACAAATTGGATTTTCTTGATATGGCAAACAATTGCGGAAAGAAGCATGAATGATGCTTTAATGGTAAACTACCGGTTGTCCCAAAGAACTAGAAAATCGTACCAAAGCCAGTTAAAGCTAAATGAATGGAAATGGTGAACATGATCAGACTACGTACCTGCAAACAGAGAGAGCCTTTCGCATATCTCCAGATGCAGCGGCAACTTTCTGAAGCAATAGAAAGCACAGTAACTCAGAATACTAAGCAGCGTCAGCAAAAAGTAAAAATCAATAAAGAAAGAAAGAATCCAAATAAATTTTCTGCTCCTAGAAAGTAGTGTATAAGCTCACCCTAGCACAGAGTTCCAGTGCTTGAGGCTGGAATACCACATAAGGAAGTGCCTGTTGGAATTACGTTATATTAGGAGATTGATGGAATTTGTCTGCTTAAAGAACTTCTACATCTGAGATAATGCTTCTTTTAACATTTTTACTGGGGACAAAGCAATAGTATCTGTTTTTTTTCCCCTTTCATCTTTGTTCTGTTTTTATTGGTCATTTCTCTTCTCCTTTTGATCTGATAGCAACTTTCCAATAAATACACATATAATCTAGGACGTTCCTGATACTGATTACTCATGAAAAGAAAATGCCTTCAATCAAATTCATAACAGAAACTGGGCAAAAATTGTCAATTTGCCGTAAAGTATGGCCAAATGCCACTAACTTTTATACCCAGATTGATGTTGCAGTTAGATTGAATGGAACTAACAAAACATATCTCCAGCAATGCACTAAGCTGTTTTCAACCTATGTCAAAGTTAAAAAATTACCCTCAGTCTTTCTTTGAGAATACTGATGATCTGATCCTTGGAGTAGGCTCGAAATGTTATGACTGTAGGCTTGCCTAGAAAAAAGGAAGCAAGTTCATGAACAAGCATTATGAGTACGCAGGAATAATTATGTTCTCTACACAACATACTTGGATAGAGAGACAAAAACTATTATGCTCTCTACACAACATACTTGGATAGAAAGGCGAAGACTATGCGAAGCATTGATGCAATATTTCAGATAAGACAAATATGCTCATAGTGTCCATAGGTGAAAGAGTATAATCCAACATAGGAAGTTAAAAGAGCCATGTGTTCTGGAAAACAGTGCAGGAAAATCCTTGAGTGAAATGTGTATAGATAGAGAACTCTCTACACAACATACTGATTTCAGAAACGATATCAGGCTGGAAAGGCCTCCAAAGTAAGAACGAGGAAGCAAATTTTATCAGATCTTCATAATTAATGAGTGAGGACAGCAAAATGGAATTAGACACAATAGCGTTGTATAATTTTTCTGGAAACAAATCACTTGCAGCCATAATAGAAACAGTACTAGATATTGAGCATAGCTAAAACTAATACAAGCAACTTACAATTTAAGGACTGTAGTTTCGGAATAAACCTGTCGGCTAAGTCAATAGCATTAGCAATCCCTGTAAACAGAAGGTAGTGAGGTTAAAAACCAGCGCATGTAATGTAAAATAAAACCAATTTGAAATTCACATACCTAAGACAATACACTTGGAAAATGGCAAAGTTGTTAGCATGAAAAGATCGTGAAGCACAGCTCGGTCTTTGGTGATCAGATAATCCAATTCATCGGCTATAATCAATCTGTTGAACATTTCGATATTAAATACATGAAGATAGGCTATTACATGTAAGACGAAATAAAGTTCAGTAAAATGTGAATCCTCTCCCCTTAAACAATTAGAACACAATAAACTACATCTTTGCAGACATGGAAATACTCATTACTTCAGGGAAGAATACACTATTGATACTTACATCATCTTCGAGCCAGGTGTCTGCTCCTGTGAATAGAGGTTGTGAAGAAGCTGCAATGATAGTGTAGCACGTTTATCTTTCTTCAGATGATTTTGCCCAATAATCTGTAAAATCAGCTGTTATAAGATTTCTCTTATTCGTTGGAAACCACAAGATACCACAGCACTGTCATACCTTGCTGAAAATTTCACTTGGGTTTGTCAGAGAAGTACAGTTGATTGATACTATATCTGGAGTCTCTACACCATCCTGCTTCCAAAGGGAAGGAAAACACTGAGTTGTGAGAATGGAATAAGACAATAGCAATCTTCTTATGATGGTAGGAGGAGGACACCATTGATTTTGTAACAATGATTAAGAAATTATAAATTAGTAATATGCTAATAAATCACATGCACATCATTTCTAGGTTATTCTGTATCAAGAAAAGAAGTCCAAGTGAAGTAAATAGATTGACAGCTTACAGAAAATATATAACACTGATATATTCAAAGAACAATAATATTACCCAGTTTGATAAAAGACTTAATCACAAGCAACTCCAAAAGCCAACAATGTATACCTCATTTGCCCAATTGACAAGAACATCTTTTACTCTTTCCATCGACAATGACTTCCCAGTTCCAGGACATCCACACATATACAAACTCCCAGCTTTCTCTTCCTTGATGCATTTCTTGCAAAAATCTAGGATCCTATTATGCTCTTCTTCACGACACACAACAGTATTTGGAGCAGTCGACACATGGAGTGCCTCTTTGACAGCTCTCAACTGCTCCACATCTGATAGAACGATGAATCACAAAAAGGAGGTCAATCAATGTTCAATAAACTATACAGTTACATTAATTGAACCACAAAGAAACTTATCCATCTCATTCTGTAAAGATTAGCACTTGCCTCTTGGGTCCCAAGATGGTTTTTCCAGAAACTTCTCAGAAAATCTTTTTCCGAGAGATGAACCACTCAAATTTACGGATTTCACGCATTCCTCAATAGCCTGTTGTCAAGGATCGAAAAAAATAAAAACATAAATATACATACAAAAAAGTTGCAAGGCACTCTAGCCAGTAGCCACCATTATCCTCAGAAACTCTATCGTGAACAATAAAACCCAACATACGTGAATTCCAGCTAATGCCAGAAATGAACTAGCAAAACATCGGCGCAAATCAATAATTCATACCAGAAAACACAATTTCAGTTGAGCAATTTGCCCAAATAAACAACAGACAACACATTTAAGGGAAAAAAATCGTCAACAAAATTCGATCATTCTACGAGATCTTCGCGGAAACAATGAAAAAGATAAAGAAGAAGAACAGCGAGAATGATAGAGTGGCTGAACTCACATCAACATTCAGCGGGCTTTTAGGACTGCCTTTACAGCACTGCCGCGGCGATTTACGCGCCGGAGATCCAATCGAATCATCGGAGTTGGATCTCAATCTGCCTTTCCGAGGAGTGGCGGCGGTGCTACCGGTCTCGGCAGCGGGATCCGATGACTGAGATGAGCGGCGGCCGATGAACGTCGGCATCTTGTGCAGGGTTGGTAGACGGTGCAGTTGAAACGAATCAAACGAAAAGAAGAAAAATCAGAAGGTGCTTTGGCTGTTGAACGAACAGTACAGATATAGCAGTGAAGAGATGCGCGAGATGGCGGGAAATGGGTGCAAATGGCGGGAAGGGGCGCGTCGTGTTGCAGGATTCAAAGAAGGCGCAATTACCTTTGGAGGTATTGAAACGCTTTTCGTCTCCTCTAGGGTCTGTTTGTTTTG